ATTCGCCGGGCTCAATTGCAGCGACTTGGGGGGTGGCCGTCTGGCGAGCCATCGCATGCCTCACCCATCGCTGGAGCCGTGACCGACCGGATCGCTTGCGGCAGCGTCCAGCGGAGTGAGAAAGCGACGCGAAAGCCGACCGATACGGAGTCGACGGCTGTCGCAAGAGGACACCGTAGGCACTCGTGCGGAAGTGCGAAGATCCACAGATCGGGAGAGCCTCAACTTCGAGGGGAGCTTCCTGAAGCTAGGCGGAGTCGTCGGCGACGAAAGTGAGTGCACCGAGTCGGAACTCGCGGCCCATGATCAAACCGCCGCCGGAAACCATGCTGATGAAGGTCGGAGAAAACGCAACCTCACCGGAAGTTGCTAAGATGCTTTGCCCCACGATGGGCGCCAACTGTCGTGGTACCAAGTGTGACAGTAAGAATTGGGGGTACGTATGAGGAGGCAAGGTTGTACACACGAGTTTACGAGTTCAGGCCCCTCTCGGAGGAGGTAAAAGCCCTACGTCTCAGTGCCCTGAGGCGGTCGACTCGAATATGGTGTGTGTGATACAGGGGGTGCGAACCCTTGTCCCTGAGGAGGGGGGCGGCTTATATAGAGTGCGCCAGGACCCCAGCCCACCTCCATTATAGGGGTTCAATGTACATTAAGATAGGGCATTACTGATAACGCCAACTATAAAGTGTATTTAATGACCTTTAAGACTACGGAGTGAACTCCTGACCGTTGTCATCCTGAGTGACTCTAGGTCTTCTGTACTCTGAGTGGTTTCTTGTCTGGTCGAATGGCTTCATCTTGGTCGAATGACCGTGGGGGTACCCGAGTGAGGTGATTGGTCGAGTGGATTACACTCGATGGTTTCAGTCGGTACTCCTTGCTATATCTTGAATGTCCTTGATTCTAGGGCAGTGACCTTGGACAAGGCGTATAGGTCAGGTCTATGACCCTACCCTAGGTTTATGGCATTGTCAGGCTGTTCGACCCGCTATGTTGTATGGCGCTGAGTGTTGGCCGACTAAAAGGCGACATGTTCAACAGTTAGGTGTGGCGGAGATGCGTATGTTGAGATGGATGTGTGGCCACACGAGAAAAGATTGAGTCCGAAATGATGATATACGAGAGAGAGTTGGGGTAGCACCAATTGAGGAGAAGCTTGTCCAACATCGTCTGAGATGGTTTGGGCATATTTAGCGCAGGCCTCCAGAAACTCCAGTGCATAGCGGACGGCTAAAGCGTGCGGAGAATGTCAAGAGAGGTCAGGGTAGGCCGAATTTGACATGGGAGGAGTCCGTTAAGAGAGATCTGAAGGATTGGAGTATCACCAAAGAACTAGCTATGGACAAGGGTGCGTGGAAGCGTGCTATCCATGTGCCAGAGCCATGAGTTGGTCGCGAGACCTTATGGGTTTCACCTCTAGCCTACCCCAACTTGTTTGAGACTAAAGGCTATGCTGTTGTAAAATTTTAACCAGACAAACAAATATCATGCAAACACAACGTAATTCATGTAAATGGACATAAGTTTGATGTAATTTACATAAAGTTGGATGATATTTCATCTGTTCAACTAAAACAGTAAAACCCTACTAATTTGTAGCGGACGGTGACCCTTATGCTTGGCCAGGCTGACCGGCCCGCATCAGTATGGGTCATCCATGGCGTCCGAGTCATCAGAGTCCTTCCTGCGGCAGAAGGGTGCAGGGGCGCGATAGCCCTACCCGCCACCGCCTGACGCTCGCGGAGGAACCGCTTGGCTTCCTCCTGTGTTGTGCGTAGGGCCACTTTGGCCAACGCCAACCCTCGCCGGAAGCCCTTGCCAGCGGCAACGGCAGTGTCACGCAGCGACCACTCCTCCCCGATCTTGACAAGCTCTCCGTCGAGGCGGCGTGGCCTCGTGGACGTCTCTGTGGTGGTCACTAGCCGGTCTTGGGCCCAGGCCTCTGCGAGATCGATGTCCGCAAGGACCCAGATCGACACGGCGTCGAACTTTGCGAACGCCGCCCAGTAACATGTATACTACTACCTCCACTCTGGTTTATTGGTCCTCTTTGTATTTTATGCCAAATTTTGATTAATAATTTAACTAACAAAATGTTAATGCATGTCACCAAAAGTTATAGCGTTGGATTCGTATTTGAACATAGTTTTCAACTGTATTGTCTTTTATAATACTCCTTCCATTACGCAATGTAGTGTGTCCGCACTTTCCGAGATTCAAATTCGACGTAAATTTAACCAAAGAAATCGACTGCGGCGGGAGCAAAAATTATACCACTGAATTATAATTTTTGCTCTCGCCGTAGTCGGTCTCGATAGTTAAATTTACAGTCAAAATTAAATCTCAGAAAATATGGACGCTTTACATTGTGGAATGAAGGAAGTATGCATTAACATTTTGTTAGTTAAATCTAATTTGACATAAAAATAAATAAGGATCAGTAAACCAAGATGCAGGTATTACATACGCAGTTACTCTCCGCCATGGCTAGTCTGACAACACACATGTGGTGTCACGTGGTGCGTGTCGGAGTTGTATTTTCACTGTGGGGTCTTGCCAGGCGGTGGAAGAGGATAGCCGATTAGCCATGGACCGCTTGCGGTGCTATATGCTAGTCATAGAATATTGAATTGCATATTGAAAGCTGCATATGGTTGCAGACTTTATTTATGGCAAACAGAAACATGTATTGTATCTGATGCACACTTTTAACTGCGAGCTTAATTTTGCTCCTATCCTTACAACACAGTCGCATCCAGTCAAGCTCCTCCTGCATGGTCATTGAAATCCCGTACCTTCCTTTGTTTCAGAGATTGGCGTTTGTTGTAGAATCAAGGTCTTTGCAATCAAATTGTTTCTTCTTCGTCGTAGAATCCACGGTGAAATCAAGCCGGCCACAGACCGGATCAGTAGTCGCTCGTAAGGCTGGTCATAGTGGGGAGTAACTTAGACTAGTAACGTACATATGTTACTAGTCTATATTACTACTTCTATAGTGCATAGTATCATAGATGGTCTCATTTATTGCCATGGATGACACATAATAGCATCACATTTACTATGTTACAGTATCTACCTATATTACTATGATCATCTCTTTCTTATTTAATTGTCTGTCACATAAGCATGTTTGCGAGTATCAAATGCATAATACTACTTATGTTACCCCCACTATGGCCAGCCTAAGCAGGCGCCGCTGGTGCCTTTAATTTTGTACTACCTTCGTCCTGGTTTATTGGTCATCTTCATATTTAATATCAAATTTTGATCATAGATTTAACTAATAAAACGTCAATGCATGTCACAAAAAATTATGCCATTAAAAACTATGTTCAAATATGAATTTAATGATATAAATTTTGATCGCATGCATTAATATTTTTATTAGTAAATAAATCTATGATCCAAATTTGACATAAAGTATGAAGGGACGAATAAATCAGGATGGAGGTAGCAGTTTCCTGGCAGCTAGAGTTTGGCCGCAGTTCATTCGTTTGAAAACAACTGGTCTACTCCAGATCAACAAGCAAGCATTCGTATGATGAGGTCAAGTGACCAACAGTGGCTCAACTGCGCAAGGACTACCAACAGGTCATCGTAAATGGGGGGACTTCGCCAGAGGTCGGCCCTGCGTCTGCGTGTGCGGAGTTAGGCCTTGTACAATGTAAGGTGCTTAGAAAAATAAATCAGGCTTTCTTTAAGCAACGGTGCTTATTTGTACAAGGTAGACGCGTAGTTAGGCATCTCTTCTATAGAAATAGGCACCAGTGCTTCAGAAAATCCGGTTTATTTTTCCAAGCATCTCCCTAAGCACCTAGCATTGTACGAGGCCTTATAGACTTCTTCGCCGGCTAACTAACAACAAACCGTATGATAAAAAAAAAACTACCCCTACTACTCGACATTATGAGTGTGTATATATGCATGACTCGCGGGCCGTGGCCCACGTTACCAAAACCCACTGCAAGCAGATTGGTCCGATCCGACACAAAGTCGTCCCTTCGGTAGGCGATTAATGACCATGCATCTTCTCCGGAGATCGTTGGCCATCCATGGTTGTTTTGATTTTTGCCACAAAATTCTCTCGAT